AAATTTTGGTCGCAAATTCCGTCGCAAATTAGCCACGGAAAATATTTCGTCGCAAATTCCGTCGCAAATTAGCGACAGAAAATTTTTCATCGCAAATTAGCGACGAATTTTTTTTCGTCGCAAATTAGCGATGAATAATTTTTCGTCGCTAATTTTCCGTGGCTAAATCCTTGTTTTTTTGTAGTGATAACTTGCACAATTGTCTGTGTCGCTATCGAAAGGATAACAAAAGAGGTAATCAATTCCTTTATATTTTATTGAGATGAATTAGTGGACTTTGACATAAACATCGACAGATTATCCACTGCAATGGTAAGAACATGTGCAGGTGTTCGAGTCCGTGCAGCGTCCGGTAGCCTGCTGTTCGTAAGAAGCAGTCTTGCACTTTTTTGCGCAACGGGCATCGACGCAGTGCGGAATGGTAATGGCCAGATGGCACAATTCGGTTATGTCTGTCTCCGCATAGACCATCTGATGCTCATTTGCCTGAACCATTAAAGCGACGAAAAGAATATTGAGGACAAGATGGCGTATGATGTGAACACTTGGATATATAGATCATCTTAGCGAGCATAGTTCAACATTACCAGAATATATGACATGACGAGGCCGAAAAAGATCATGCGGATGGTGTCGAAGGAGTTCTTCATGATGCTTTGATCAGGTAGCTTGAAGCCGGACACGATACGCAAATCTGAACTGCTGAAGCTCTTAGGTAATACTTGGTTATAAGTAGTCATGCGAATTGAAATGAATAAAGGGTATTTCATTTATTAGTGATTTGGGTCACCATTTTTTGGTGATTGAATAAGATATTTTTCCTTCAATGCTAGGCAATTCCATTAAATCGATGTGTATTATCTGCAACAAATTAATTTTGCAAAAGAGAAATCTTGTCCCCAATATGCCTTTTGCCACTTTCTGTATATGGACAGCCCATTTCCTAAAATTCTGGATATTCTTTTTTTCTGTTATACCATTTTGTTGAGGAGTATAATTGGCGGTTAACTAACATTTCACTCCATGATTTCAATGTCTTTAGATTAAAGCCATTATGTTTCTCAACATAGACTTTAAATTCTTTAAGCTTGCTAAAAGCTTTGGATTTTTCTCTCAAAAAATATGTCCATGTTTTTATGGTAAAATCATCCACAAAAATTAATATGTACCCTTTTTGTCTGAATGATTCCTTCTCGACAGGGCCATGGATGTTTGTAAGTACCAACTCCAAAGGTTGTTTTCCTCCTCTGGCTTTTCCAACTGGAAAAGTTGCTTCATGTAGTTTTCCGATAAGACATCCTTCGCATGGATATTCTGGATTGTCAATAAGAGGCAAGCCGGTCACCATCTTTTTATGGACTAGTAATTTTAGTCCACGAAAATTTAGATGACCAAATCAGAGATGCCACAACTAGTTGCTATCTTTCATCACCGCTTGAAAACTCAAAAGGTTCTCTTCATCTGAAGAATCAAAGGGTACATCCGGTTCTTCGTCATCTGCATCGTCATAATCAGCTTATTGTTTACGCCTCTGATAGTGCAAACTCCATTTTCAATGTGAACTTTGTGACCTTTCTCGGAAAGTTGGCCAACTTCCAAAAAAGTCTTACTACAAATAAACATCTGCAACAGTAATATTAGTACCATCTTTTGACTTGATATTAATGTTACTTTTGTCCACTACAAGAACATTGGATTTATTCCCAAGATTTACTTTGCCACGAACCGTCTCGTCCAATTGCGAGAACAACTCATTTTGGATTTATTCCCTAACTTTGGAGTTATGGCCGGCGAGGGTGGCCGGCCAACCCTCATCGGTAATAGACGAGGGCCGGCGACTCTCGCCAGCCCTAACTCCAAAACCAAAAAAAAAATAGAGAAAAGGAAAAAAGAGAAAAAAAATCATAAAAATTTCAGAAAATTATTAAAATATTATTTAAAAATGTCCACGTCAGTGCCACGTGGCCGGCCGGCATCTACATCAATGATTTCCGGCCAAAATTGGTTGGATGGACTCAATTGGCAAGAAATGAAAAGGATTAGGACTCAATTGGCAAACTTGAAAGGTTTAAGAATGATAAAAATGCAATAGGTTTAGGACTTTTTGGACAATTTTCCCAATATATTTATATAATATATGATGAGAAGTTATTGCATGGTCATATTACGTGTATTATTATCATTTGAACTGTCACAGGGACTATGCCAAAAGACGATTTTAGTCTCAAACCAATGACCGTAACAAGGGAGGCTTGTAGACCCTTCTAATCTCTCTCTCTCTCTCGTTCAATTTTTACACTTCCCTCTTGCCCTTCTCAAATGTAAAAAGGGTAACTCGTGAGACGTTGCTTTCGGCAAGTTGCCGCAGTCGCATCTTGAGCCGTGGCCGTTGTGTAGCAAGTTGTGGCTATCCCGTCGTGAGTTATAGCTGTCACATCTCAACTCACGGGGGTGCCGGCCCCTCAGTCATGGCCACCTTTCCCTCTCTAACTCTCAGATCTCGGAGATCCAGAGGGCCAACGTGGTGATCGGTTGCGCATCCGACCACTCCGGTGGGGTGGTCGCATGTGTCAAATAATAAATTGCCACCGTCAAGGCGGCGACCTCCATGAGGTCCTCCGTGGTTGCCATGGACACGAAGACTTAACCAAAAGAGTCCTTTTAACCCATTATGTTATTTCTAACATCTCCTGTGGAGTCACCGGTCAGTAACATCTCAAACTTTGCAAGTTAGGGGTCACCAACTAATAGTGCCTTGTTCTTAGGTTGCGTTTAATCGTCCAGATAAAATCCAAGATAAGATTTGTTTTATCATATCTTGTATTTGGTAGCTGTCCAGGATAGGATAAAAGGGGATATAGGAGGATATAGCCAAGATAAAATAATTCTAGGGAGAGGTGGGATAGAGCAGGATAGGATTTCTCAAAAAAGCAACACACCAGGAGATAAGTTTTTCCCACAATCCCCCCCTCTCCTCCGTGCCTAGCCACCTCTTCGCCATGCCTAACCGCCTCTCCGCTGTGCCCAACCGCCTCCCTGGCGGCGGGCCACCTCTCCGGCACCGGTGACCGGCCCGTGGGAAGATGAACAAAACTAGGAATATATTTTTTACTTGATCAATAAAAATCAGCAGAGACCATAGCACGAGCCTTGAAAAATTTTGTTGCTAACCTAAAAAACAAAAACAAAGTCCAAACACAAAAACAAATGAATTTTAAATCACATAATTCTCCTCCTATGTTCAAAATATGATCTCCTGCTTCAAGAAGTGTAATCTTCACAAGGTCTTTGACTCATATAGCCGGGTAAGATCTTCAATTACAAAGTCATGAAACCTTGCCACAAATTCCACTATCCAATTGAGAAGCACATCAATCTGATAACAAAGTAGACCAAATCAACATCTTATCTTAGGTGATACATGTACCTTCAAGAAATGGGTATTCTCCTCAACACGAGGCGTGTTGAATGTATTTGCACGGGCTCCCACAGCTATTATGAGATAATCATACTCTATTGCAAATTCTTCTTAGGGAAAATAACACAAATAGTCTTTGAACTTTGGCTCAATGTGCAATTTGATCCTTGAACTTTAAATTTATCCAATATAGTCCCTAAAGTTTAACCCAATGTTCGATGTGATCCCTGAACTTTCAATTTGTTCAATGTGGTCTCTGAACTTTTGGTACATGTTCAATATAGTCCCTAAACTTTATAAAAATATTCAATGTAGTCCTTCCATAAATTCAAGTTTAGGGATTATATTGTACATTTTCATATAGTTTAGGGACTAAATTAAATATGTACCAAAAGTTCAGGGACCATATTGAACATTGGGCTAAAGTTCATGGATTACATTGAACAAATTAAAAGTTTAGTGACCAAATTGCATATTGAGCCAAAGTTCAAAGACTACTTGTGTCATTATCTCTTCTTCTTATCGGACTTTACATCCTTAGTCCACCAAACAGTAGATAGGATAAAACAAAATTCTTGGATTTCTTATCCTATCTTATTCAGTCTTATCTCAACTAAAACTCCGGACGACCAAACGCAACCTTAGAGTTTTTCCAAATCTTAGGTTCGGATAATTTACGATATATAAATTTAATCGTAAAATTAAAACACCAAATTAGAGTTACCAGCGATCGATTCGGAAAACTCATGTCAATTGAAAATCTAAATAAATGTGTGAAGGAAACTGGTGTACGAAAACCTAGAAATCTTAAGTTCGGGACTCGATTAGGGGTGGACTAATTAGAATGCAAAAACCTAAAAACCTTAAATCGGGTACTCGGATTAGCATTTCGCTCAGTTCTTTCGCTAAAAAAAATATAAGGACCATTTAAACCAAAAAAAAATAAAGTCAAGTGGCGATTTTTATTTATTTTTTAAATGGGGAGACTACTGTTTCTATTATCCTAACTAACTACGATTTTTATCGGTGAATGTGCTATTTTTCGCCACGATAGTAGGCTAATTAGTCACTTTCAATCTATATTGGTAGGTAATAAAGTAGGATGTGGTGGCAGTGGAAGCAGTCTCAAGTTCGATCTTATTTAATATTATCACTGTCACCATAGTGGCAACTTTTGATGGAATACATACATTCGGTAAGCACATTACCAAACTTTTATTCTTAGTATTCATGATGACATGACCCGCTTGATGAGCACGAGGAACTACAGACCAGAGTCATGCTCCGATCACTATGAGACCGTCTTCCATCATCTGTTCGAGACTCCAGGCATCGTACTGGCACTTGTAGGACCAATATGCCCACCCGAAAGTGGCCTGCCCGTACACGACTTGCTGAGCCTTGGCGAATCTCCGCGAGTCCTCCTTTGTGGCCCCGCTGAAGTCCAATGCCGAGGTCCATTCCCCTGCAAAACCCATTTTAGCTCACAAAGGTCATAACATATTTGTGCTCTTGTGCGCTCGCGTCGTGTGTATCTGTGTGTTCGATATAATATGCGGTCATGTCGCTTTCTGACCACGCATTAGGACTCACCAACAAAGATCAAGGGGCCATTTGGTTGGGTTACTTTGCTCAGATCGATCTCTCTGTCGACATAGATGTAGCCAATGTTCTGCTGCAGATTCCACTGCTTAAACTTTGGATCATAGAGGTTGTAGTAATGCACATCGATGACAACTCGGCTCAGGCCTCTCGTAAACTGAATGAGCTCTTGCGGGTCGGCTGGTCCCAACCGGTTAGACAGGATCACATAAGCATCCTGAGTGTGCCTCCTCACGGCATCGTAACCTAACCGGTAGTAATTAACAAGATCGTCCAACTTGACATCTGGGGCTTGAGGCTCGTTCATCAGCTCAATTGCGACCAATGCTGAATTGTTGCCGTATCTACTTGAAAATCATAAATGAGCATGCTTTAGGAAAACAAATTAGGTAAGATCTAGCGTGTTTCTATCAACACCAATGAATCCAATTCATCAAAATACTAATGAGATATATGTCATGAGTGATATATCCAAAGTGAGAATTCATTTCCTAGACCTTTCTGCTAGGAATTCTATAACTTTCACGGTGTCCTGAATGTAAGAGTCCCCCCATTCCAGAAATCCATCTCTCGACGCGCTATCAGATTCGCCGTTTTGAGATCCCGGAGCAGCATGGAGATCAACTATTATTTTCATATTATTATTCCTGTGAAAGGAATATTCAATTATTCAAGGTTAGAGGATTCTTTCAATTTCGATCACGACTGATCCAATTTTCTATCAGAGTTATTGGCATAAAATGTAAAGGATTGAAAAGTTGCTTACGCTGCCCATGTAAAAGCATTGTCCAGTTTATACAGCGAGCCTCCCACAAAAGGCTTCGGCGGTGTTGGATCATATGCGATCCACCATCCTACCGGAATTCTCACAGCAGTTAGATTTTTGGCCGCCATAAATTGGAAGTCCTGCTCGGTAATGTAAGTTTTCCAATGATCCTGCCAAGCATGTTTGTTAATAGATTACTGATCTACTTTGTCTCTGTATACTTATTACATCCTTTCTTTGCCACTAATCAATACCCGTAAGAGTTGTGGGGCAGTGTCGGGGCCATAGCCATTTGTTATCTGGTATTCGCCTTGTAAGCCGCCAACAGTGTTCATTTCGAAGACAGACGGGTCATTATCATTCCACCTCGTTTCTCCACTATTATCTGCCGTCACATTTGTCAGTGACTTTACCTGATCAAGCATATAATGTTAAAAAAAAAAATTACATCAATCAATGTGACTGTATCCGTTCAATAATCGAGGAGTATGACGATTCTTCTATTATATTTGGTTGGGGATTATGGATAATGGAATGGAAATGCTCTTGTAGTCCAAAAGTTCATTTTGATTAAAGAGTAAAGTAATGTTGTCGCGGAAATGACTGCTCCTTTCTTCATGTGAAGCCTTTTCATTGCAAACTGTGGACATATTATCTGTAGAGGATGTCGTATATTTGTCATATTGCATGGAGTGTCGCTGTTCTTTCTCAAACAAACTAGGAGTGTTCATCACGTCCTCGTAGTGTCAACAAAGTACGGAGTGTCCAGTAACATGCTGGAACGTCTTAGAATAGTACATGCCAACGCGAGTGCCAAGTGACAGTTTCACAGAAACGCCATGTACTAATGTTCATATGACATAGTTTCTTATGTTTGTCAAAGTTTATTAGGGTCTTTGTCTAATATTAGGGTGATAGGTGCAATAGATCAGCAACAGATAGCTTCGTGGAATTTCTGCAGGGTACGTTTTAATGTACGCAAGTACTTTCTACGTGTTGTGCTGTTCTGCACACCGACGTAGTCCTGAAAAATTTGGACTGTCGGCGTGAAGAAACTATTGTCAACCATGGAATGACAAATCACCATCAACCGTTGAATCGAAAACTTCTCACTGTGAACCGTTGTATGGCCACGGCAAAATGGTCGCGCAACCCCAGGCACCAAAGAATCAGCCGTGTACGCCATAATACAATAGGGACTATGGAAGTCATATAGAAGCTGGAATAGGGGGAATTACCTGGAGAAACAATTCATTAGATGCTCGGAGTCGCACTCGATTGGGATTGTTCGGGTTCCTTATAATGTCAAAAGTCTCTGAGGGACTCGGTGTACCAGAAACCACTACAACCATTCTGCTTTGGCCATTCAATCCAACGAAATGCTTGTTGAAAGCTCTGATGTTGAATTTTGTGTCGGAAATCCTCCACAGCTGCACCATAGAAGAGAGCAAAAATTATGGTGGATGACGTGTGAATCTTTTGAGCTTGTCTACAAGTCGATAGTCGATTTTGTAAGACAGAAAGCCATACCCTGAAAGTTTCCCAGCCGGCGGCCCTGTCACGGTTGGCAACGATGGTGGCTCCGTCAGCGCACAGGAATTTCCCCAGCTTCGTCGACTTGAACTGCACTTGAGTCCCATCCTACCATTAAAACAAACACAAAAAAATGGGATTTTATTCATCTCATTGAAAGAGCGAAGTGATACTTTGATAGAGCAGACTAATAACAGCACTTACATCTGCATGCATATTTTCATTGTTGTTTTGTAATGGTATGGTTCTGAAATATCTTACACATTTAAGTAAGAGAAATGATTAAATCTACTGTGAGATTGACAGTATGTTCTAGACCACAAAGAAATAAATAACAAATAATTATAAATTATTGTGGAGTCCACTCCTAATATGTTGTTACTCTTATAATAGCCAAAAGACTGTTATGTTAATAAAGCCCTTTAAGTAACAATCTCAGTGCACATCATATTGGACCCAAGAAGAAACTTTGTGACCGCCCAACAATACTAATTGCAAAACTGTAATAAAAAAGCATATGAGAGAAAGCGAAATGTACAATTTTATGTACACAACATAATAACGATCCAGGAGGATCATCGATACTTTCTCCTTTTATCTTTAAGCACCTACCAAGAGCTGTCCATTGAGCCCATCGAACCGAGAACGCTTCATCCACCCCTCGGTGACGAGCCAATTTCCGAGGTTCACAGCCTTGAGAGGCAACTTGAACTCGGCGGTCTGGGCCAGGATCAAGGAAAGGAACACGCAGAGGGAACAAAGCAGCATGAGTGGATGGTGATGACAGTGTGCCATTTCTGGCTCTCTTCGTTGCTGTGAGATTAAATGACAGAGAGAGAAGAGAGAGAGAGCCAACACATTTATAGACCTGCACAGGGTAAGAAGGCATCGGTGGGACGTCGGCGTGACTCATTTGAGAGAAGTTCCAGGCTTTGGTGGTGCCTTGACTTGACTCAGAGGCGCGTTGACCTGACGTATTTGAGAGGAGTCCATACTCCATTGTTGTGTTGACTTGACGCATTTGAGAGTAGTTCCGTTATTAAATAACCGTTATGCGAAACGCACTTGTAACACCTAGATAGATTATAGGCCTTTGCTGGCATAATAGTTTTTGGGCCACTGTAAGAATAACGACATATTGTGAGTCACAAATTCTCGAAAGAATAGACCCCACAATAATTTATGATTATTTGTTATTTGCTTTTTTTGTGGACCAGATTAGGCTGTTAATCTAAGGACGGTCACTGAATCATTTCTCTAAATTATATTGCATTTGGCCTATAGTCTATGAAGACTAAATCATATGTACCGTCGATCACATAGGCTACGGGATGGGACTCACATGATTAATAATTCGGATGATATATGTTCATATGTTTTATAAAAATGTAATAATTGCTCTCTTTTTTTGTTTTATTATCTAGAGACATGAGTTTGAGACTTGGCTACCCTCATGAAACACCCAGCTAGATCCCTCAACCGGTTAAATCCAGACCTTTGACCTATGCAAATGGCCATGACTTAAAGTAGTTTGTATATAGTTGATGAGATTCAAATAAGTGACCATTAGTTCCTCTAGTTGGAAATCCCACAACACTCCAATCAACTGCTCCAACCTTGGGATTTTCAATTTTCTTAGGAAAAAAGAATAAAAAAGAAAACTACCTATGAGCAAGGGTAGGGAGTTTATCATGAGCCGCTTTTGCATGATCTTAGAGCATTCGTGGTGCATGTGAATCTAATGCACATGCACCGTTGGATCATATGAATCTCGCATGAAGCTAATCTCATCGAAAGGTACATGTGAATTGGGCTCACGTGCACCCACTCACATCGGGATTTTCAATTCGTCATGTAGCTAAAATACGTGGTTGTGGACCTCTTGCATTAAATGAGACTAGCAGTTAGTACAAGGTGGTAATGCGAAACAAACGGTATAAGCTATACCATTGAAGTATCAAATGCCAAGTACGAGATTTACGCGGAATGTGCACAACAGTCTCATGCAGATAATGATCGCCGCTAGCCCTACAATTTCCTCTTTCTCACAACCTTTTATTATCTATTATTTGCACCAAATTGACCAATTTTGATTATTATCGACATGTGATAGACTTAGTTTATTATAGCAGAGTTTGGTAATTTATAAAAAGATTTATCGACAACTCTAAAAATCGACCACTTGAAGAAGCGCAACTTGATGAATTGATAGCTTGAAGGAATCAACAAAAAGTGAAGTCGACAATCTCGGATGCAACCGTCAAAGAAATAACCATCAATGTAGTAGTATAAAACAATCAAAGGAGTAACCGTCAACGTAGTAGAATAAAGCAACTGTTAAGATAGAGTCGAAGAAACCATCGAGGTAGTAGAATCATCGCAACCGTTCGTAACTGTTTATAACATCTCTTTGTAACCTTTATTTGTAACCCTCGTTGATAACCATCAATTGTAGGCCTTAAATAGTCATATTGTACTCTTCGAAGACCACCCCCATCCCCCGCGTCCGAAAAAAATAAATTTATTATCTTTCAGTTATCTTTACTTTTCTGCACTATACTTTTATTTTCTAGACTCACATCGTCGATTAAATTCCTATGTATCATCTTTGCATGCTCAAGTTTTGTCGTCGATTAAATTCCAGCACAGTTTATTTACTTTTGGTTACGTCATAGTCATTATTTTTCAGACATTATCATCGACTAAATTCTAGCATTGTTTGTGATTGTACAGTCCTATTCGAATTCAAGTTGTTGATTTCTTTATAACATGTGATATTTTATGTCCAAAGTCGGCGCAAGACCTGTTTGCTGCAATTAAAAGCCGAAGAACGACTTTCGATGAAAGATAGTTCATCGTGGGAAAAATGCCACCGAAACATCTTTTTTGCATACCTAGTGGGACTAGTGTGACTGATTTAAGGATATACAATGGTGAGAACAAAGAATCAACTTGATCCTAACGATGATGGCGGTAACGACTTGTCACAGTAACCTAATAATGATAGAGTGGGATGTTCTGAGTCATCGACTGCACAGCCCGTGTCAGAGCAAGAACAAGGTAGAGATGTCGACATCCCAAGGCAACTCACCAATGAACAGAGGAGGCAATTGGAACCAAATCCTATGATGTCAGCCACCATGAGGAGGATTCTCGACGAACACCAAAAGGAAACAACCAACCACATGATGAAATACCTCATCAATGTGGTCAAGCCCACGATCGCCAACACCTTTCATGAGGTCATGCACGGGCTAGGAATGTCGAGCTATTTGTTTCATAGGCAGGCAAATCCTTCCAATCATGCACCTTCTAGGATTTTTTAAAGGGCTGAAACTGTTGGTAAGACCCAGACTAGTGGGACAATACCTGTCGGTGGAAGTAATTTGCATAATACTGCGGCTTTCAGCTATGTTCCTCCAACTCTTAATCAATTGAACGACAAAAATAATTTAGGTCAAGTGATCCCACTACTAGTGAGGATTTTACAAGGCCTAAAAATTCTATCTACCTTAAACCTAGGGAGCAGGATAAGTGTCAACTTGCGAATCCTAATCAAGTGGCTGAACTTATATTACAACAATTAGGTGCTAACAGAAGAATGGTCAGGCCAGTATATAGGAAGCCACATCCTGATTGGGTTGACATTATACCTTATCCAAGAAAATTAAAAACTTATGACTTTGTTGTTTTTATTGGTGAAGATGACCGATCGACCGTTGAACACATTGGCCCATTCATTGCCCAATGTGGAGAGGCAGGAACAAATGAATCCTTAAGACTTAGATTGTGGCATTTGTCTTTATCAAAAACTGCCTTTACTTGGTATATTCAATTCATACTTGGACTAAGATGGAAAGATAAATCCATTCTCAATTTTATGTAATGATATTTGAGGTATCAATTACTAATTTGATCAAAATTTATCAATACGATCATTAATCAGTCGATCAGTTTGTTGCTCGATTCAAGAGGGCTAGAAATAGATGCCTTACTTCATTCCCAGAGCTAGAATTCACAAATTTGGCTTTTAATGGATTGAAATTCAATCTTAGAGAAAAGTTTGAAGGCCAAAATTTTGCTGATTTATTTTAATTAGCAACGAGATTGTCTAAGCATGAGCAATTACCTTAAGAAAAGAGATAGAGAAGTAATTGCCAACGTTGTGAGATAAAGCAATCAAAGAGTAACTCTTAATGTAGTGGAATAAAGTAACCGTCAAAATAGTGGAGTCGAAGAAATCGTCAAGGTAGTAGAGTCAATGTAACCATTTATAACATTTGTTTGTAACATCCTTTTGTAACATCTGTTCGTAATTTCCGTTGATAATTATCGATTGTAAGCTTTAAATAGTCATATCGTACTCTTCAATGACCCCCCCCCGTGCACAAATAAACAAATTTACTATCTTTCAATTATCTATACTTTTCTCCATTGTATTTTTATTTTCCAAACTCACATCGTCAATTAAATACCAACGTCTTTATTAACTGTAGTTTCCAGATCCGCGTTTATCCTGGGTGTTACGTCGTCGATAAATTCCAGTGTATTATCTTTGCGTGCTCAGGCTTTGTCACTGATTAAATTCCAGCATAATTTATTTACGTTTGGTCATATCATAGAGTCTATATTTTCCAAGCATTTTTGTCGATTAAATACCGGCACGATTTGTAATTGTACAGTCCCGTTCGAATTCAAGTTGTTAATTTCTTCATCACCTATGATATTTCTGTCCGGAGTTAACACGGGACCTGTCTCCTTCAATTAAAAGCAGAAGAATAAATTTCCGTAAAAGATAACTCGTCGCGGGAGAAATTCTGGCTAAACAATCTATGTACATCTATATCAATCTATGTATGTGTTAACAAAAGCAGTTATTGCTCGCTTGAAATCGCATCACGTGTTATGGCCTTGTACAAGCTTTACCTATTGAGTCATTACCTAGATTGGTGTATGCATCAATTTCCTTCATTGAAATCATTGGGCACGCAGTGCGCAGTGTATACAATCTATATTGAAAAAAATTTGTCATATGGCATGTGAGATTGAGAAATGATAGGTTATTATTAAAATGTGTTTGAGATAACAACGGTGGTGAATATAGAGGCCCGTTTGAACATTATTGTAGAGATTACTAAGATCCCTCTTACTAATTCTTTGATTCCAGTTGGTAAGAGGGATCTTGAACAAAGAAATAGATTCTAGAAGCTAAAAAAGGGTATCCTAAGCAATTGCTATGTGGTTATTATTGTTTAGTATGGGAAATGGATACTATCAAAAAGCTGAAAGCCAAAAGTTGAAATTATGTTAGGATGTGCTTTATAATATAGAGTTCATAATTTACATATGTTTTAAATAATAAATTAACTAAATCAGACCCTAAATTTATTTATTTTTCTTATTAAATAAATGAAGAAGTACCAACTTGAGCATTAAGAGAGAAAATTGAACTTTTTCTCGGTGAATGTGCACATTTCACCACAATGATAGGCTAATCAGTCACATTCAATCTTTATTGGAAGGTAAAAAAGTAGGAATGTAGTGGAAGCAATTCTATTAATGTCACCATAATGGCAACTTCTGATAAAATACATACATTCCGTAAACAAGCTGCCAACCTTTTTATTCCTAGTATTCATCATGAGCATGAGGAA